GACAAACTGGACAGATGAAAGCTAGTAGAGAAAACTGGAATTTCTTAAGTAGTTATTAAAGAGTTTAACATGGTAGGAGAGTTGAGAATCTCAGGATGCCATTTCCCTTTGGAAGTTGTTGCTGAGTTCTGTCAAGTGTGTTCTGACTCATAGTGACGCCACGTGACAGAGTAGAATTGCCCCAGAGAGGTATTTTTTTTCTTTACATGTTATTTATATTGTTGTTGTTGAGACTACACACGGCAAAACATACATCAGTTCAACAGTCAACAATTTCTACATGTACAATTTAGTGACACTGATTACATTCTTTCAGTTGTGCAACCATTCTTACCTTCCTTTTCTAACTTGTTCCTCCCTCATTAACATAAACTCATTATCATGTAAAGTTCCCATTTAATCTCTCAAATTGCTATTGTCAATTTGATCCCATATAGATGGTTCTTAAAAGAGCATAATGCTCAAGGCATACATTTTTTTACTAGTTAAGCTAAACCATTGTTCAGTTTTAAGAAAACTTTAGGGGATATTTTCAGTTAAATTTCAAAGATTACCTCAGGGCAATAGTTTCAGGGGTTCATCCACATTTCATGAAAAGTAGAGTCCATGTACATTTGTAATTGTTCTACACTTCCCCCCTTTTGATCAGGATCCTCCTATGGAATCTTTGATCAAAATGGTCAGTAATGGTAGCTAGGCACTATTCAGTTCTGGTCTCATGACAAAGGAGACAGTTTTTCATGGAGGCAATTAGCCAAACATTCCATATCTTCCTCCTGTTCCCAACTCTCCTTCTTCCTCTGTTGTTCCAGATGAATAGAGACCAATTGTTGTGCTTTGGATGGCTGCTTGCAAACTTTTAAGATGCCCATAGGCTTTTCTTAGCTATAATCTCTATGGAGTTTTGGCTTTTTTGGTTTTAATTTTTACGGAAGCATATTGCTGGGCCATTTTCCTGTGGAGCCACTGGGTAGGTTTGAACCACCAATATTTAGTTAGCAGCTGAGACCTTAGTCAATGAATCACCAGGACTCTTTTCATTTTGGATGCATGCATTAATTCTTAAATCTTATCATTTGCAGTTTTGAAAGCCAATCAGAGGATCTGGGGTGCTCCTATGTGGTTAAAGCACTTAGCTGCTAAGTAAAAGGTCAGTGGTTCAAAACTACCAGTAGCTCAGGGAGATGAGGTAGTCTGCTTGTAAAGATTTACAGCTTTGGAAACTCTGTGGGGGCAGTTCTACTCTGAACTGTTGTTGTTGTTGTTGTTATGTGCAGTCGAGTCAGACCCGACTCATAGCAACCCCTCCTTGGGTTTCCGAGGCATTATCACTACAGAAGTAGATTGCCCCATCTTCCTTCCAAGCGTGGCTGGTGGATTTGAACCGCCAGCCTTCTGGTTAGCAGTCAAGTGCCTTAGGCACTATGCTACCAGAGCTCCCACTCTAAACTAGAGGGTTGCTATGATCAGAATCTACTTGATGGTGCTGGGTTTGGTTTGATTGGTGCTTTCTCTTACAGGCAAAACCCTGACTCCCCCAGCAGTGACCACAACAAAGAGTAAAGTCAAAAATTTAAAAACCTAGGTCAAGTGTGCCACCTAGTGGCAAAAGCATGTCTTCATTCATTTCTTTCAGTAAAAGTTGTACTGAGCAACTATGAAGTATGTGAAGTGCTTTATGGGGATTATCTTCTTTAATATCCACAACACAGAGGCCTTTAGCAATGAAGGATTAACAAGAAATGGTCCCTGTCCTCAAAGAGCCCAGAGTTTGGTAGAGGGAGATTGACATGCAAAAATAAAAATACAATGTAGTGTGATAACTAGTAGAGGAATGAACAAACTCAATTCCAACTCCCAGCACCCCCTTTGGGTTTCCAAGGTGGTAAATCTTTATGGAAGTAGATTACCCCCCATCTTCTTTCCATGGTCAAATGCATTCGGGATTGCGTTCCCAGAGCTCCTTTTAAGTACTAGAATAGTGCCGGGCATTCTGGAAACACAGACAAGGTATACCTTTCTAGTGGAGCCAAACAAAGTGTTACTGATGAGCTCGGCCTAAGAATAGTCGCTTACCTATTCCTGTGCCCAATTACACAAGGAGAAAAACCGTGAGGATTGGGTTTGTGCAGAAAACCCATGAGGGTTGCATTTGGTACAAATCTTCCATTTACTCTCACTTGTTGGGATGTGTCCATGGTCTAAGGCTGTGCTGGCAGGCATTCGCTTGCCACATGTGGCTTTTGAGCATTTGAAATGTAACTAGTCTCTTGAGAGATGTGCTATGTGAATTACACACCAGATTTCAAATACATAGAATGAAAAGTAAAACTCAGTAATTCTTAATATTGATTGCATGTTAAAATATTTTAGATATATTGGATTGAATATATTAAAATGAACTACACCTGTTTTTACTCTTTTCAGTGTGTCTCTAGAAACTTTATTGTTACATGTATGGCTCAGTGTATTTCCACTCCATTGGGAATTATATTTGAGTTTTCATGTTTCGTTTAGACCTGGGCTTCATGTCTAGCTCTGGCTATTTTTGGGTTTTGGAGTTAGCTTTTCTGCACTACTAATCAGAGCAACCATGGGCAAGCTTATTTTAGCCCTCTTAACCTCAATTTTCTTACTTATAAAATGGGGACAATACCTATGTTTTGTGAGGATTCAGTGAGATAATCCCTATAAACTGAAGCCTTTTGCCCTGCACTAGTTAAGCTTATTGAGATTTTACACGTGTGCTCATCTCCTGGGGACTTCTTGATAGAGGCAGAGGTGGGGATTCCACACGTTGATGCTTATGAGAACATCTGGGCACAAGCAGTTCAAGCAGGATATGAGGTGTGATTTCTAGAAAATTTTTTTATGAGTTAAAAACTGCTGTCAGGTTTCCATAGTACTGGCTTCTATCATGTTCAGATAGAACAAGGGAGGGACACTTCTGAAATTATGAAGTTTTTGTGGCAGGGTTTGCAGAGAACATTATGGGGGAAAGGGTTGCACAGCAGAAAAAAAAAATTCCTTCTGGAGGGTAAGATGGAGGAATAGGCAGACAAGCTACACAGACCCTCTTCAATAAAGAAAAGAGAAAACAATTGACAGAGATACAGAAGATAATCCGGGGCCCTGAGCTTTGAAAGAACTATTCAGAAGTGGATTAGGCACCAATTAGTGGAAAAACCTGAATGAAAACAGTGAGTATAGAGATGGTCAGAGCAGTGGACTGTCAGCTACTCTGATGGGACCAACAGCCTAAATACTTCCAAGTGGTGTTGGGACCTGAGAATTGACCTAAAGATCAGCCCTGGTCACCAAGGGCTGCAGGGACAACTGGGCTCATGGCCTATGACTAGGGAGGGAAATAGCAAGGAGGGAGACAACCTGAGCTGTGCCTTTCTGCTGTCCAGAGGATGCAGGCATTTTGTTTACAAGTGGCAACCTTTTTGGATATTTAAAGTGACCGAGGGTGCAGCCATTTTGAATCTTTACAAGTGGTGGCCATTTTGGATTTTAAAGTGACAGCACTATCATTCAGATTCCAGGGACCTAAGAATAGGCTCTGTTTGCCAAGGATAGCAGGGACATATGGGAGGCTGACAAAAGGAAAGGAGACAGGTGGTGAATGTGTAAGTGCTGCCAATTAGCAAACAGAGGAGCATAGCACAGTACCCTGCTTATGTAGATAACATACAAAACAAAGAAAATGAAAATCATGGGCAAGTCACACCAACATGGAATCACCAATTAAATATAAACACAAAAACATCACAATGCCTGGGAGACAAAGAGCATCACAGTCCACACAAAGCAGCAAGATAAAGAGGAAAAAACAAGGGACCAGGATACAGACCCAGAACACATCCCCGAGGAAGATACAGCATTGGAACTCCCTGATAAGGAATTCAAAAGAATTATATTTAGGTATCTTCAACAAATTGAGAGAAAGATCAAGGAAAACACTAATAAAATTGAGGGAAACACAGAGTGTTCACCATGTGAATGATCAGAATTCCCAGGTGTATAGTAGAGCTGACAAGAGGCAAGGTTATGGTCATTGCTTGGTCACAGCCCGCTACCCAGAGGGACCGACAGTAGTGAGTTTGGTTGTTTTAGTTAATCGTATTGTTACTAAGGGGGATAGAGGTCCTTTCAAACAAAGGTAACATGCAGTTTACTAAGTGGCTGGTTCTCTCCCAGCATTCATTCTGGTTAATTAGCGTGGGCCAGGGTTTATACAATCCTGTTCTTTTCCAAACATAAGTGAAAGTCAGGTAGTTGATCTTGCTAAAGAGATCTTGTCCTGAGGGCTTCACTCTTTCCTGCTTAATGCCACACACAAGATGCCTAGGCGAGGTTGGAGTGCAGGTATCTGTAGTGTGTAGCTGCATATAAGGACCAATGATGGCAGAAGTAATGAGTATTAAGCCTTCCCTGGCTACCTTAGTGCTGTTTTATCTATTAACTATTCTGACATTTTTAAAAGGCTACCCAAACACATTTTCTTGAAAGAAAACATTTATTTATGATCTTTATTGGTCAAAAGTTTTAAACAAATGCTGAACAGTTTTTCACATTTTGAGCCTTGAGTGCACAGTGTCATGCGTGAGATAAATGCATATCCAGTGGAGCTCTTCCCTGACGCAGCGAAATATCAGGATGATCATCAGGCAGAAGACAACTTACTTGACAGAAATCTGCTCCTATATCTGCTTGAAAAAACAATAGGATTTGCACCCCCTATTAAGGTTTCCCACAACATAAATGTGCTTAAACAACTTATACTCTTAATTTGAAAACAGAATACCCAAAAATTAACTGTCCCTTTAAATAAAAAAAATAATCAATTTATATTCTTCTTAAAAGAACCTCAACAATTTAAAATAAGTTCCAATTCCATATATATATACATACATATGTACATTTATAACTTAAGTGCTCTTTTGCTCTCTATACTTTTATTCATGCAACAGTAACAGAGGAATGGACATGAAGCTCTACAGAGGCCTCTCTGAGAAAGCAGTGTAGCTTCTCACTCTGGCGAAGAACAAGGGGGTGTACATCTTGTCAATCTCAAAAGCAGTGACTGCCGTCTCCCCAGTTGATCTGGAATGAAAGCACAAAAAGGACTAGTTACACAGAAATTTCTAGTTACTGAAAATCCTTTCACAATTTTGTTTGTGGGGCCACATTATTTTACGCTTTAGTCTTTTTGATTTTTAATTATCTCAGTAAATCCTAAATAATACAGGTATGTTGTTAAAAAAAAAAAAAAAAAAAAAAGTAATAGAAAATTTATAAAGAAATAAAAAAAAAAACCAGTTCCCACTGAGTCTATTCCAATTGATGGCAACCCCATTTGTGTCATATTAGAATTGTGTCCCACAGGGTTTTCAACAGCTAATTTTTCAGAAGCATTACCAGGCCTTCTGTATGAGGCACCTCTGGGTGGAACTGAACCTCCAACCTTCCAGTTAGCGGATGAGTGCTCAAGTGGCTGCATCACCTAGGAGCTCCTTCTAAAGAAAAGCCGCTCATAATCCCATCACCATACAGCCACACGAAATACTTTTAGTGTTTGTTTTGTCCTAGCACCTCATCTCTTATCCAGCTTTCTGACTGAAATGTTGCTCTGTAACTCTGCTTTTCTCATTTACCATTATACCATGTGCATATCTCCATATCATTAAATATTCTTCAGACATGAAAAATATTTCACTGCCTGCTTGTACCACAGTCTACTTACTATTTTCACTATTTCTTTGAGTTACGTTGCTTCCAGTATTTGGCAATTGAAATTGTCCTCCAAACAGACTGTTGAAGGTGGAATTACTAAGTTAAAGTTTATAGACATTTTTAAGACCCTTACCAAAACGTGTTTCAAAGACTATACCAACTATATTCCTAGAATAAAAAAACCCATTGGCGTTGAATTGATACAGACTCATAGCGACCCTATATAAAACAGAGTAGAACAGCCCCAAAGGGTTTCTAAGACTGTAATCTTTATAGAAGCAGACAGTCACATTTTTCTCCCATGTAGTGGCTGATAAACTCGAACCGCTGACCTTTCAATTAGCAGCCGAGCGCTTAACCATCGTGGCACCAATACTCCTTATTCTATTCTGAGACTAGAGTTTAATAATTTCATAGTCACATGATCAACAGCATGACAGGCAGTGGAAAAGCAGGTGTCAAATTATACTATCAGTGTTTTATTTAAACTTTTTCCCAAATAAGGAGAAATAAACAAATGCTGAAAATTCAAATAATTTTATGAGTATTAGAAGGAAGTAGAAGGAAGTCAACGCCATCACCAGCAGCTACAATGATGCCTTATCATAATGTCCTTTTTTCTCTTAGAACACAATGATGTGTTGCTCTTCTAAGGTGTGACACATTAGCTCCAGCTATCATCCATTTGCTCTGTTGTACTTCTGAGTTTAGTTTCTTTCTTTAAAAAGGGAAAAAAAATTCCATTGCACCAGAGAGAAACAAAAAGGAGACAGTAAGACTGGCAGGCAAGCCTGAAAAGAAAGAAAACTGTTCTTCTCAGATGTCAGGACCTTCCGAGTGAATGGGGTAAAGTTATTTGTATGGTAGAAACGTGACCAAGAAAGTTTTCAACCATGTGTTCAAGGTTGTGAAGTAGGTTAACAGAAGCTGACCTCAAAACCTGTCACTCAGAATTCTGGGTCCAATTGGAACAGTCTTAGCCAAACACCAATCAACTTTTAAACCTAACTACAGCTAACTTCAGTAGCCATGCTAACAGGTGTTTCACTGCCGAAATTAATTTTTTATTTTAATTTAATTAAATTAACTTAATAATTCTCTACTGCTCCTTTCTCATACACACTCCTCAGTTATTATTCCATACAGGTGAACCCAATCTCAGGATCAAAGGGTTTGAAAAAGGACATGTAGTAATATATTTGGTTTTGGAATATATGAGGTTACATTTTTATCATATTTGCTTTCCTAATTATAAATTTATTAAAGTCAGTGTACAATCCCTGAGGCTACATCAAGTGGTAATAAAGTGAAAATCTTAAGATTGAAATGCTAAAGAAGAAAAATGATCTGGTATTTTAAACCTGCCTTGAATAATAAATCAATGAATAAGCAATGCATGGACAGCTTAGAGTTGACTAGTACCATTCCACTCATGGAATAATTTTATGAGTTTATTTTCATTTCCAAAGTGGTTGTACCCCACTCACAATCTCTTTGGCACTGTGTGAGGTCCAGCTGCTTCATTTCCTCACCCATGCTTATCGTCTTTTTCACTTTGGCCATTGTTTTTGGTTTGTAGTGGCACTGCTTTGCTTGTGATGCAATGCTGACGCCAAGGAATTCAAATCATATCTGAGCATTTCCTAAGCCTGATGTGAATGAAGTACACATTTATTCTTGTAACCTTGGCATTGTTTAGCATATTCACTTACTTGTAGGTAACATGACAAGAATGATGTATCCAGATGAGTTTGTTGAACCTCTGGTGACCACTGGAACACAGCTGTAGCCCCACATGAAAACTCTGTTCTGCTTCTTGTACAGGGACACGACGAAAATACCTATATTTGTAGTCGAGTGGTTTCTGTAAAAGAAAAGGTTCCTAAGCTCTAGTGAATCTTGCCTGCATGAGATTGACGCTAACAGTAATATCTGCACACAGTTGAAGAGTTGCCTTGGGTATCAAATGAGAATGTGCAGCAAAGTGCCTTGAAAAATGTGCAGTACTCTACAAATTTAAGGATTTCCCCCATCACTGTCATCTCAATTAATCATCACAGCCACTCACATGTTAAACGTGATCACATTTCCATTTACGACCCAAGGAGGTCAAAGGAGTTAACCAAAGTTACATAGCAATTGGTAGCAGAGCTGGGAACTGAAACTTCTGTATTCTAACTCTAAGACTACTACTTCATTTTATTAGGAAAGTTTTTTTTTTTTTTTTTTTAAAGAGTGAAAGTAATACATTTGTGGAAGCTGCAGCAAAAGCAGAGTACTAATTTATCTTTTGAAATAACAGTAAAACAAGCAATTAGATAGAAACAGATGTGAAAAGGTTCATCAGTGTCACATTTCTGCAAACAGTATTGCTGAAAATATAAAAGTGTAAATACTATGGTTGGTTTCATTGTATCTTATTTTGGAGAGGAAACTGGTAGTCTACATGGGAGTTCCTCAACTTTGTAGTATTAGATAAAACCTACACAGCTAGTGCCTCACCATTTCCCCAATTCTGATCTTAGGAAACACATGGCCAAGGCCACAGTCACAGCGACTATCTCTGCCAATCAGACTGCTGCCTCAGAGTCTAAGAGCCTACCCTAGAGAGGCAGAGAAAGCAGCAACAGATGGCTGCAAGGCGGTAGGACTCATAGATGAAAGCCTGCCCTAACTACCTCGACATACATGATGCTAGAGGGGAGTTTAAGGGAAATATCTTTAAAAAAAAAAAGAGAACAAGAACCGTACTATATAGTAGCAATGGGCACTTATTTACATCAACTACCTCACAACTGATTTACTGGGTATATATATGACAACTTTTAACCATGACTGGAAAAATATACATGGAGACAAGTTATGAAATAAAATATGGCCCTTAATCTGTTAAGAGCATTTAATGAACTCAAGGATGTAATAATATCAGTAACCATATTTTTTAGCATTTTCTTCCTGGTAAAAACAGGAAGGAAAAAAATTATCTTACTTTAGCTTATTTTCTGTAGAAATTGAAGTTCTCCGTAAGAATATACTTATGAAATAATTATTTATACGAGCTAATTTAGGAGGGAAATCCTTTATGATTCTACATAGGAGCAACAACAACAAAAAAAATTAACTGAATAATTTTACTAGTTACTATATAGGAAATTGCGGTTTTACATTTTCACGGATTAAAAAAACTGAGCCAGAAAAGGAAATGCTTTAGTGAAAAATAAGTAACTTAATGCAGTAATGAAAATAACCACAGTTCAGACAACCCCCAGCTCTCTTCAGAGATAAGTCAACATATATTTGTGCAAAGTATAAATCATGAAGTTTTTCTTTTTTTCCCAATCTTTTCTAATCAAGGATGCTTAAATGAACAGAGTATTAAATTAAGAAGAGAATAGCATACTCACTTCTTCTTTTTTCTTAGTTATCACAGCAAATACTTTGGTCTGATTGTCTGCATCCTGTGACAAACGATAATGGCCCAGTAGAATTGCATCAGTTCTGAAACAGAAAAAACACATTTCCTCAGAAACCCAATGGGGGTTGCTATTGAGTCAGAAACAACTCAATGGCAGTGAGTTTGGTTTTAAGCAGTTCTACAGATTTAAGTAATGGACTGTAACAGTGTTTACTCAACTCTCCTAAAAAGAATAGCTAGGATGTGAGCACACAATACAGATTCTATGGCTGCAAATATCTTCCAAAGTAGAATCTCTATGGAGAAGCCCATGTATCTTTATTTTCAACAAGTGCCCCCAACATTGCTTTTTCAGTCATTCAGTATTAAATCAGAGCAGCATTGGGCTACATTAGCCTGCAAGTAACCATATAAAATGTGGACTGAATAGAAAGCTACAGAAAAATAATACCTAGTATTTCTAGTTCTTAAACGAGGAACAATGGACTGAGGCTCCTCAGGGGTTGTTAACATCATCACATGGCCATCAGGAAAGAATCTTATATACCTATATAAAAAGAAAGAGAACACCAAAAACCACCACACACATACAGTATAAAGCATGTCCTCATTTATCAATACCTAAATGTATTCATAACTGTAGAATCAAAATGGTATATGGATTTCATTTTACTGGGATCCACAGACTTCATCTTATGTACTCTGGTCATGCTGTCAGAAGGGACCAGTCCCTGGAGAAGGGATATCATGCTTGGTAAAGTAGAAAGTCAGTGAAAATAGAAATACCAAGGGTCAAAGAACTAGCAAAACATCATTAAAACAAATGTGACTGACGAACTGTGAGGTTGGCAATAAAGAACTAAAGACATTTGATCATCTTTCTTCAAGGGAACTGTTGACTTTTAGTTTCCTTCACTGAATAAAAATAAAAATAAATTAAATACTGTTCTATTAAAGATCTGTGTTTTCCCCAAAGCATTAATTAATGTCAAACAAAAGTGAGCTTTAATAATAACACACAGTGATTAAAAAAAAACCCTCTACTTATTTCTCAGTAACAGTAATATTTAATGAATAAGGCTGAATTCAAGGAGATACTACACGATTTAAAATCAGGAAAGGTTCAAGGTTGTTTCTTTTCACCATACTTATTCAATGGAGAAAAGACTGAAGTCGGGGATTTCATTTTACTGGGATCCAAAGACTTCATCTCATGTACTTTGGTCATGCTGTCAGAAGGCACCCGTCCCTGGGGAAGGACATCATGCCTGGCAAAGCAGAGGGTCAGTGAAAAAGGGGAAGATGCTCAATGAGATGGACTGACGTAGTGGCTGCCAACAATGGGCTCAAACAGAGCAAGGATTGTGAGGATGGTGCAGGACAGGGCAGTTTTTTCATTCTGTTGTACATGGGGCTGCTATGAGTCAGAAGCAACTCAACAGCACCTAACAAGAGTAACAAGGATAAATAAAACCTTGTATGTTACTTGAAAAGGTAAATGACAAAAACAAGAACTCTAAAATGCAAAATATTTCTTAAAATTTAGAGGCTATGAGGAATTATTTATATTAGCCTTAGTTCTTTGAGTGCAATTCCTATGATAAAAACATTGAGAGCCATTTTACAGATGAATGCAAGAGGAACAAAGAACAAAGGTTAACTAATACTTGGAGAGAGAATTTTTCACTCACTCAGTTTACTACAGTTGTACCTGTAATAGTCCACTTGGTGCCAGGCTCTATAGAAACCATCAAGCGACTGTTCTCCTTGGCGAATGTATGTTGTTTTGCTGATATAGACTCCTAGAGAAAAGAAAGGGATTTTTAAAAAACGAGACTCTAATAAAAAAAAAAAACCTTTTAAAATGGCAATCATACGCTTCTAGTTTTACTCTTATTGTGGTTTCCCCTAAATGTTATCACTAAAGTCTATAAAACATAGAAATTGTGTTATTTATCAAAATCAGCATTACAGATCATTATTTCTCAACTTACCATCAAATCGAACACGAGGTCTTTCTAAAAACATCTCTCTCCAGGATGTATATGGAGCAAGTTTAATACAGCTTCTGCCCCAGACTTTCAAGCAGGCCAAACGCCATATTTCAGGGTCTCTAGGTAATAAAAGCACATCCATATGCACATAAGAGGATAAGTCCTTGTATGCAGACATAAAAAATATTTCTATCAGTCATCTTTTACTTAGCAAGTATTTGTTGAGCCCACCACTTGACTGTCATTTTGTTGGACTGTGGTGGCAAAGGCAATCAACTGTGTGGATCATAACAACTTATGGATAACATAGAGAAGAATGGGAATTCCAGAACACTTAACTGTGCTCATAAGGAACCTGTGCACAGACAAAGAGGCAGCTGTTCAAACAGAACAAGGGGATACTGCATGGTTTAATATCAGGAACACTGTGTGTGAAGAGTTATATCCTTTTACCATACTTATTCAATTTACATGCTGAACAAATAATCCAAGAAGCTGGACAATAACAACACAGCATTAGGACTAAAGGAAGACTCATTAACAACCTGTGATATGCAGATGACAAAATCTTGTTGGTTGGAAGTGAAGACTTGAAGCTCTTACTCATGAAGATCAAAACCTATAGCCTTCAGTATGGATTACATCTCAACATAAAGAAAACAAAAATCCTCACAACAGGATCAATCAGCAGCAGCATGATAAATGGAGAAAAGACGAAGTTGTCAAGGATTTCATTTTACTTGGCTCCACATCAACACCCATGGACGCAGCAATCAAGACATCAAGTATCATATCACACTGGGCAAATCTGCTGCAAAAAACCTCTTTAAAGTGTTAAAGAGCAAAGGTGTCACTTTGAAGACTAAAGTGCACCTAACCCAAGCAATGGTATTTTCAATTGCCTCATACACATTTGAAAGCTGGACAATGTATAAGGAAACCAAAGAAAAGTTGATACTTTTGAATTGTGGCGTTAGCAAAGAATACGGAATGTACCATGGACTGCAAGAATGAACAAATCTGCCTTGGAGGAAGTACAGCCAGAATGCTCCTTAGAAGCAAGGATGGCAAGATTTTGCCTGTTATGCTTTGGACATGTTGTCAGAACGGATCGATCCCTGGAGAAGGATACCATGCTTGGTAAAGTAGAAGGTCAGCAAAAAAGAGCAAGACCTTCAACAAGACAGACTGACGTGGTGGCTGCAGCAGTGTGCTCAAGCACACTAATGACTGTGAGGATGGTGCAGGACCAGCACTGTTTCATTCCATTGCGCATGAGGTCTCTAAGAGTTGAAACTGACTTGATGGTACCTGACAACATTTGTTGAGCACCTGCCAGGTGTTGTTCTGGGCACTGGAAATATTACACTGATCAACGAGGCAAAAGCCCTGCTCTGTTACTGAAGGGAAAACAAAAGAAAAACAAGACAAGAAAGAAACAGAAAAGCTTTGCATAGCATGCTTGGTGCAAACACACACACACAGAGACAGACAAAGCAAGGTAAGTGGACAGTGATTGCTGCTGCTGGGTAAAGAGACTATCTCAGATAGGGCAGCCAGTAAGGGCTTTCTGGGAAAGTGACCATAGTGATGGGGAAGGGTACAGTGGCAAAAACCACAGCCACAGTTTAAGGCGCTTAAAGGAACTTAAACTGGAGGAACTGTGACTGGCAAGCTCAATAAAGAACAAGAAGGAGCTCATGGCTGCAGCAAAGTGAGAAATGTGAAGGGTAGACAACAGGATTTGAAATAGTAAGGAGCAGGAGACATGTAGTATCTTGCAGACCACTGGCAAGACTGGCCATTACTTTAAACGGGATGGATGCAGCTGGAGGGTTTTGCATAGCGTGCTTGGTGTGTAGCATGCATAAGAATATGTCATGGGTTGAACTGTGTCCAAAAATATGTGTTGTAAATCCTAGCCTCTATGCCTGTGGTTATAATACCATTTAGGAATGGATTATCTTTGTTATGTTAATGTGACAGCATCAGTTTTGTGATATGAGAGAGATTAAACCAGTGAGCAGAAGGGAGAAGGGGTAAGACAGATGCCAAGACACATGGAGCTCTACAAGGAACCAGAAAGCACAAGCTGAAGAGACAAGGACCTTACTTTACAGCCAAGAGAGAGGGAAATCCTTCCCCTAGAGTTGGAGCTCTGAAGCCAGACTTCTAGCCTCCTAAACTTCGAGAAAATAAACTTCTATTTGCTAAAGCCACCCTTTTTATGGTACTTCTGTTACAGCAGCACTAGATAACTAAGACAGAGTGAAATAGTCTGATTTATATTTTGAAAAGATCACTCTAGTGGTTTATGGAGACTGTGCTCTAGGGGTGTAAGAATGGAACCAGGAGAAAATGTAGGACATCAGTGCAGACCAGACATAACGGTGGATGGAACGGGATGGCAGTTATAGAAGTTATAGAAGTGGTGAAATCATCAGACTGGAGGTAAGTAGCACTGACAAGACTTTCTTATGAGATTACTGCAAAAACCTTAAGTAAAAAATGTATTGAAAATCAACATGATTCAGATATAGGTTAAAAAAAAAAATTAACTCCAGCTACTGTTTGAAGCTCTGGTGGTATAGTACATAAGGCATTGACTGCTAACCAGAAGACTGGTGGTTCAAACCCACCAGCCACTCCTCAGAAGAAAGGCTGGGCAATCTACTTTCATAGTGATACCACCTTGGAAACCCAAGGTGGGGTTGCTATGAGTCAAAACTGGCTCAACGGCAGTGAGTTTGGTTTGTTTTTTTTTTTAAACCACTTGAAGCAATCAGTATTAAAGTCAAAACTACTTATATGGCACCAGACTGCAACAAAACACAATCCCACTCCTAAATATGTAAGGCATTGAGAACATTTTATTCTTTTAATAATTACTTTATTTTATGATGACATAGAAGTTTCATCACTGAAAATATGCTTTCTTAATTCCTCGCTTACAATGTTTTCTTATGTGAAGTTAAAGGAGTATAATGCCAGAGACCCTTATTTCAATAGGTTGGTGGCAATCCACTCAGGGCTTACTAGGTACCTATTACATAAAATAACATACAGAATCACAAAAATACAAAGGATTCAACTTGCAGCAATTCAAGTGTTTTACCCCAAATACAAGACTCCAAATGAAATTAGATTACCTAAAATCATTCATCTGAATTTTTTTTTTTAAATTCAAATACTATATGCAAAATTATAGATCCTAAAGACTAAGTATATATTTATATGTAAGAAAACCATGAAAGACTGTCAGTCTCAAATGATTTTAAACTAAGCTATGATTAGTCCTCAGATAGTAAGACTTCAAGAGTATAGGATAACTTTTAATGGGCCAAAGGAAAATTCTAGTGCAATCTAAATTTAAATCATTACTACTTAATGGATTTAGACTTACTGTAAAAATGACCTGAGTATCTATTTTATATATTTTTCAAATGTAATCCTTTTTCCAAACTGGCAATGCTAGCATGCAAACTATCCCATGAAAGGAGTATAAGTCACTAAGCATGCAAACTATCCCATGAAAGAAGTGTAAGTCACTAAATCTATTTTGGATAAAAAATACTTTGTTGTCTTTGTTGTTGTTACATGATGTCGAGCCAGACCCAACTCATAGAGACCCCTCCTTGGGTTTCTGAGGCAGTATCACTATGGAAGTAGATTGCCTGACCTTCCTTCTGAGGAGTGGCTGGTGGGTATGAACTGACAGCCTTCTGGTTAGCACTCAAGTACCTTAGGCACCACGCTACCAGAGCTCCTAAAAGAATACCTTATGTTCCTTTTATTCTATACTCTGTAAACCCAGTGCACTCTAGCCTTTAAATGCTAAACTGTTCAAGACAATAAGTACAGCTTAGCAAAACTCTGTTCATTGTAAACTTTTATCCAGAACATCAATCAGGCTCTTTAACAAAATACCATAATCCTTTTTTCCATCACTGTCTGAGTTGTTTACAAAAGTTAAATACCTGGCACAGATATAGAATCCTCTGCACACCAGTGACAACTGCTCTAACGATCTGAGGTCTAAGTCACTGGACACCACCCATCGGAAGATGTACATCAGGACCTCCATCGGCAGCACTGCAAAAGAAAACCATCCTTCCAGTGACTCTCCTATAAGGCAAGATACTGTAACAGCCATGTTCTCAGTGATGATGCCTGTATGCATTTCTAGAAATTTATAAATCACATCCTCAGTGCTGCTCTGAGCTACAGCATGAATGTACTACCCAGCAGTAATAATGGTTTGTAATACGAACACATAAATAACTGTTTTTATTTAGTACAGAACAGGAAGCTATTTTTACAAAGAACCCCTTTTCCTCTGAAGATCATTTTACTATCAAGATATATTTAAATAAATATTAGAAAATTATCTAATATATATTTGTGTGTGATCCATATCTCATTTTTTAACACTAAAAACTCATTTTCATCTCTTGAAAAGTTGTGAATTGTCCTCTAATTCTTAAAAGCCCATAACTAATTAATATTTAACATATGAAAAGAAAATACATTCATTTTTATAAACAATCATCCTCTCGAGACTTACTATCCAACTAGCCTGAAATGCCGTATGACACGATTCTCCAAATTTCTTAGGTCTACCTTAGCAACTCAGATTCACCGTCTTATTTCAACTGAAAAAAGAATGGCATCCATGACCAACTTCACTACAAATTCTGCTCCACTTCAGATTTTAAAAAGCTTATTTATTTATACAAATAGCAATTATAACAAGGTCTCCCACCACAGTGTCAACTAGAGCAGCAATCATCTGGCAAATAATCTGACCTGGTAAGTCTGAACAATTTAAATCCAAGGTTGAAGTACTTCTCACTGAGTTATAATCACCAAGAATTCAAACCTGATACATGAGTCTGACTGCTTTCAAGTTCTGGCTGACACAGTTTGAGCATAGACTCCTGAAATGTGAGCTGCTGCTGGAAGTAGGACAAGAGATCTGCCATCTTGTTATCATCATCATTATCTTCCATGCTGAAAAAAAATGGGTAGTGAATAAATTAAGTGCCTCAGTCCAGTAACATACAGCTTTGAAACTTTCAAAACCGTTTTGGAAAAAAGTTATCTAAAAGCAGACTTTCTTACTATAATTTTAAACTTTATTATTATTTGATAATGATATGTCTACCCTGCCTTGCAAGGAAGTATGATGCCAGGTTTTTTGAAGAAAAGAGATTAAGAAATTTTAATTACTACCTAAAGAGAGTGTGCTATTGAGATTTAACTAATTAGTTTTATTATAAAGAAGACATTTAATGAGATAGTGAAAAAGGTAATTTCAAATGATTCTAAAAATCTTACTAGGATAAATCCTGTTGAACTTTATTCATTCTAGTTGGAAACACATCAAATGTACATGTGTCACTTGAGGTATTTACATACCAGTGATTTGTAACTGATATTACAAATAGATATTCTTTAACACCCTATCTTTAGAGAGAAAAAATATATTAATCTGAAAAATCTTAACAAGGTCCACAGATAATCTACCAGTATAAACAAAAGTCTAAGTCCTAGAAAATGTTCCCACTTTTTTGAGAGTTAAGTATAAAGGTTATCAAACTTAAACCTGGATGAGAATAATAGAAAACCAGGAGGGGCTTTTCATAATAGAAGGGCCAGTTTTGTTGATGCCAGATGAACTCTATGGCATTCTACAAACATTTTACAGAAGAAGTCAAAGAAACTTTTAGGATTTACCAGATCTGATAAGAAAAAAAATCATATCTTTAAAGAACTTTCACAGCATTTGCGTTTATATAAAGGGATAGCAGTGAAAAGAAATGCTTCTTTAATGTTTTGGTACAAGCTATCTTAACAGCACCTGGCACCTATTTATAAAATCAGCTAAGAGTGACACTACTTAAAAATTAAACAAGGCTTAACAAAAGCCCAAATGATTCATTTGGAGTATGACCTATCCTCATAGGGTTAAATCTAATTTGGTGACCATATCATTAGCTGAAAAGTTCAAATAGGGAATACTAACTTCATTGGGACGTTTTGAATATGGCTTATCCAAAATTTAAGTGTTAATACTACACACATTTTAAAAATATTGGCAACAAGCATAAATTGTCAATAAATGTAATTTTCTTAATCACTTTCATAACTAAGGTAACGTAACTCACCACTGTCACGTTGATTCCATCTCATGGTGACCCTATAGGACAAAGTAGAACTGTCTCATAGGGTTTCTGAGGCTGTAATCTTTATAGAAGCAGACTGCCACATCTTTCTCCCATGGAATGGCTGGTGGGTTCAAACCACTGACCTACTGGTTAGCAGCCAACTGCTTAACCATGGCACCACCAGGGCTCCTTAAGGTAATATAGTAATGTATAACAGCTACTACCTCATTACCCAAACTATTTTTCTATGTATTGCTATTTGAAACCTTGCATTCAAGGGCTCCCTTCCCTTCTAATATTTGCATATTGGGCTTTTAGGGGTATAGAGTTAGGCCAAAACAATTTTGTAATTGTCCTCCAAATAAGTATGGGCTTAAACATAAGTTCTCTTGATCTTTTTATGTAGAAAATCATCATGGCTATTTATGACTTTGATGCAATTGGCATCTATACAATGAAACAAGATTTCTTTTAGGAATGTTTATATCCTGTACTTAGGCTTTTAACCAAATGTTACAGTTTTAATAACATTCTACCTACATACGTTAATAAATAAAGCCTTAGTATATATAGATCAACATTTTCCTAAAAAAAAGATTAAAAGCTCCTTTTTTATGGAGTCTCAAACATACACAAAAGGAGATACACTAGTGCAATGAAACCCCATATACTCATCACCCAAGTTAAACTATTATTAATTTTTGTTAACTTAGGCTTAATTATAGTATTTTCTACTTTAAAAAGGTTTCAGAAAGCTGAGATGTGTCCTTTATTTCTTTTTAATAATCATTGCTTGTATTACAAACTCCATCATCTTTTGTTGAATCTGTTGAAAATTTGTAATTCTGTATTTATTCTTAAAACTTCCCTAATTAAAAATTGTCTACAACTTTATGAACAAGGATATGCTAAACACTATATATCTTAACAGAATTAGCACCATCTTACTATCATGTTAAGAGTCAACAGGACAAAGATGCTTAACTTTAACAAGCTCTATGCATTACTGTCTGTCAAATTATATACGCACTAGCTGTTTCCAACGCCGTCACCATCTGGAGACCGGGTATAAGTAATCTTGAACTCTATATCAGGTACAAGTTGCATAGCCCTACGATAAAACTTGATGGCTAAAAGAAGAAATAAAGCTAAATTAGCTATGACCACACAGTTTTATCATATCCTTTGTCTACTTTAACTGTGGTTAATTTGGTAATTCTCTTTACAACAGCCAAATTCCCTTTTTCTAAATGCAATTAACAGTTCAGTGAACAAACTTATTTCTAAATCTTCCTGCTTTGAACTTTCTTTTTTCTAAAACTAACATGCTATAGGAACTTAAGATGTTGTATTTTACTCTTTTAGTCTTCCCATGTTTTTCCTCACCCTCTTAGGTATTTTCAGAAGTGATCCTATGTAGTTGCCTTTCTTCAGATTCTGAAAATGCAATTGCTTTAGCCCAACAAAAACAATTCTAAGCAAATTTTTCTTTCTAGGATGGAGACTCGAGGAAAATCAAATGCTACCTATTGGGTGGAATAAAGAGAAGAGTTTTTTGGAATGCATGTTTCAAATTCAACTTCCTTTAGCCCATCTGCTTTATGTATCTCCCTTTTAAAACCCCTTTTCTTTTTTTTAAATAAATCTCCTAGCCAAGTGGTTCAGAGCTATAATAATCTCCCCTGCAGCATTATACCAGAAGAACATGGGGCTTATAAAAGCTGACTAGTTTTTCCCTTTGGATACATTCACTTCCATACATTCTGCCATGTTCCATTACTCTGGGTACCATCATTGTACACAAAGCGACATGGAAATGTCATAAATTAATAAAGATTACAAAGAGACTTGACCAAGTGAGCCTTTTTAGAATCTGAAAGTAAAACTCTTCCTACAAGAAACTTGTAAATAAATGGAGTAATTCTAAATGCTATCCTGAGGCATTCTTTAAATGATTCAAGGATACACCTTTTTCCCATGCCATAATCATTAACTTTACTGACCCAAAGAAAATACAATTATAAACCTAATAGAGTAAACAGTTCTATCACTTAATTTACTTACCTATTTCTACAGGGTCAATCAAAAACACAATTCAAGCTGAAGGGTATTCCTTTTGGTAAAATGTAAATAAACCAAAAAAACCAAACCTACTGCCATCAAGTCGATTCTGACTCATAGCAACCCTGTAGGACAGAGAGGTTTCCCAGCTTGTCAATCTTTACAGAAGTAGATTGCCTCATCTTTTTCCCATGGAACAACTGAAGGGTTTGAACTACCAACCTTCTGGTTAGCAGCCAAATGCCTTACCCACTAAGCCACCAGAACTCCTTAAAAAAGGTAAATTAGAACTTAAAAAAAAAAAAAAAACAACCACCACCACCTTCATATTCCTCAACCTTTCCTTTCCTCCTCTGAAGTAATTTTCCCCTGGAAAAGGATCACTTCCTATTTTACAATGAGTGACAACATTTTTAAGGCTTTATTCATGAAGAGTTAATAAGCTAAAACTTCAAAAAAAAGTTTTTATTCATCCTACCAATATGGTATTTCCAAGAATTATTATTATTGGTTTTTTTTTGAGAGAGACAAGTTACACAGAAATACAATTTCTATTTTTTGCTTAAAAAAAATCAAATATAGGGAGACTGAACATACCAAATATAATCTAGTTAAAAAAAAAAAAAAAAAAGTTATTCAGCAACAAAGAGTTGTTATTCAGAAATATAACACTATGATCCTGGGCTGCATTTTTACCTTCATAGAGAGCTCCATTTTGTTCTTCTTCTACTGCTTTTAGGAAGAGTTCTCGTGCCTACAAAAACAAAGCATGAAGGATAATCTGAAAATCTGTATTAAAAATGATTATGGATGGTGGAAGGACAGACTCTTCAATAAATGGTGCTAGAATAATTAGATATCCATAGGCAAAAAAAAAAAAAAAAGATCATGAGTCTTGACTTAAGCTTCTCAAAATGAATCCTGGATTCAAATGTAAAACTTGAAACAGTTTTAGAAAACACAGAAGAAAACCTTTGTGAACTGGGACTAGGCAAAGTGTTCTATCTAATACATGATGCCAAAAGGACAATTCACAGAATGAAAACCTGATAAACTAGACCACATAAAAATTAAAAATTTTTGCTTTGCAAAAGACCCAGTTAAAAGAAGGAAAAGACAAGCTATAAACGGAGAGGAAATATTGCAAACCACGTATCTAAAACAAACAAAAAAAAAATCCAGTATGTATTTTATCTAAAATATATAAAGAACTCTTAGAGTGTAATAATAAAAAGCAAGCAATTCTATTAGAAAAGACATGAACTGACATTTCAAAAAGAAGCTATAGATGGTAAAGAAGCATGTGAAAAGATGGGCAATATCATTAGCCATTAGGGAAATGCAAACTAAAACTACAACAAGATATTACCACTCATCCACCAGATCAGCTGAAATTAAGTAATGATAACACCAAATGCAGAGAAATTACTCACTCATACATTGCTAGTGGGAACATAAAACAGTACAGCCACTTTGGAAAATATTTTGGCAGTTTCTATTAAAACCAAACATGTACTTATCACACATCCCAGCAACTGCATTATTGTGCATTTAACCCAGAGAAGCAAAAACTTATGCTTCATGCAAAAACCTATACATGAAATGCTCATAGTAGCTCTTTTGTAATAGCCACAAACTGTAAACAACCCAAATATACTCCAGTAAGTTAATGGATAAACAAACGGGGGTCCATCCACATCACGGAAAACTATTCAGCAATAAAAAGTAACAAATTATTGATATACACAACTGGACAGATGTCAAATTATGATGAATGGGAAAAAAGTCAACCTCAAAAGGTTGTATTACATGATTTAATTTATACAACAGTGTTGGAATATCAAATTTATAGAGATGGAGGACAGATTAGTGGTTGCTAGGGGTTAGGAAGGGAGCTCTGGTAGCATAGTGCCTAAGGCACTTGACTGCTAACCAGAAGGCTGGCTGTCCAAACCCACCAGCCACTCCTCGGAAGGAAGATGGGGCAATCTACTTCCATAGTGATACTGTCTCGGAAACCCAAGGAGGGGTCGCTATGAGTCAGGTCCGACTCGATGGCACATAACAACAACAACAGGGGTTAGGAAAGGAGCTCTGATGGCACAGTGGTTTACACATTTGGCTGCTAAACAAAAGGCTGGCAGTTTGAACCCACTACCCACCATGTTTCTCTGTGGGAGAAAGATGCGGTGGTCTTATTCCATAAAGATTTACAGCCTCAGAAACCCTCTTGGGCAGTTCTACTCTGCCCTACAGAGTCGTTATGAGTCAGAAATGACTTGATGGTAGTGGGTGGTAGGGGGAGAAGGGTGAATGTAACTCTAAAGGTATATGGACACAAGGGAGATTTAAGGTGATGCAACAATTTTGTATCTTGATTCTGGTGTGATTACAAAGTGATACTTGATAAAACTGCCTAGAACTACACACACACACACACACACACAGGTGCTTGCACGAGTGGAGAAATCTGAATAAGCCTTATGGATTGTAAAAATGTCTATTTCTGGGTTTCGATATTGACTACAGTTAAGTATGTATTACCATTGAAAAGGCTGGATAAAGTGTGTAGGGGTCTTCCTTATACCTGTGAATCTGTAATTATTTCAAAATAAAAAATTGAAACTGTGGAAGTTTTTAAACACCACAGTAATGTCACCTATTAAATGGCAAATTACTTGTAAACAAATACTTGGATCTCATGATGTGAAGATGCTAATCTCTACAGAATAGGAGAATAATGAAAAGTGCAAGTGTCCTGTGCCTATTTCACACCAAGAAGTACCAGGATAGAAGTGAACAGGACAGTGTGCACAATCTTTTCAGTGTAAGAACTTTCAAAGTTTTCCAAAATGAGGAAATGTAACACATTAATGAGATCATTGTATGTTCAATTCAAAACATAACAAAATAATTTCATTAAGTTAAAACTTTTGGAAAAGGTATTAATATCTGAACTTTTTTTCCCCCCTTTTCTGGGCTCTGGTTAATCTATTCAGAGGCATCAATCTTTTAGAGACCAAATGACTCTCAGGACTCAATAAACTAACAGAAGTTTGATGAAGAGATGAAGACAGTACACCACAGGAAAAAAGCCCAGGCAGATGTAGTGTTATCATCTACAGTAGTGAGATGGAGCTGCAGAGAGGGGGAGGTATATCAATTGACATACTTGTCGAAATTCTTCCACATGAGAAAAGATTTGTTTTATTTTACAAGTTATGTGCTCACATTACCAGAGAACAACTACAATGGTTACTTACTTATGCCAATTAAAAATTTTATGTGGGGGGTAAAATTTATTACAGGGGAGGTTACGGTTACACAGACTCCCTGATAGTGCTACAGCTGGTAAGACAGTCTGAGCTGTTATCAGCTACCACTTTCAGTAAATATACTTCTGTAGATATCCTTTTGAGGGAGCCATATTCATAATACTTAACTTTTCCTCTTTCGCCAGTTCTTGCTTTCCTTTGGTATCTGCTTTCAGTAAAGACCCTCTTGATCCTCTGCAAGGTCGAGTTTCTAAACTGCTGGAGCCTACGCCAGGAGCAAGCTCAAACATCCACTGAGCTCGGAACATCTGGAGCTGTGCCTAAGGGGAGAAGAGTATTTTAAGACTCAGTGAAGGGCAGCTCAACTCTAGAGCAGTTTATAAATATGTCTGACATCTATTTCCATTTATATATTTATTGTCCCAAGACAAAAATAAACTCTTTTTAAATCACTAAATCAAAACCCTTTAGACACCTATTCCCTTTTAAAATAATTAACTGTTTAAAACTTAAAAGAAATAAGGAAAATTTGCCTAAAAGGCAAAACCTAAAATAAGTTTGCCTATTTTTCAAAAAAGGAGCCCTGGGATGCAGTGGTTAGCACTTGCCTGCTAACCAAAGGTCGATAGTTTGAACCCACCAGCAGCTCCATGGGATATAGACTTGGTCTGCTCCCATAAAGATTACAGCTTTGGAAACCAAGTTGATTCCAAGAGCACGCCTTTAGAGGTTAATTTTATATGTCAACTTGGCTAGGCTATGTTTGCTAAACATTATTAGTCCAGTTATTACTAAGGAGCTCTGGTAGTATAGTGCCTAAGGCACTTGACTGCTCACCAGAAGGCTGGAGGTTCAAACCCACCAGCCACTCCTCGGAAGGAAGGTTGGGTAATCCTACTTCCGTAATGATACTGCCTCGAAAACCCAAGGAGGGGTCGCTATGAGTCGGGGCCGACTTGACGGCAAACAACAACAACAACAATATTACTATGGAGTAGCTACACTTGAGTAAATCAGTTCACCTTAAATAAAACAGGTTTAACTTCAATAATGTGATGTAATGACAAGTCACATAACAATTTAACCAGCCAAAGACCATAAAAACAAAAAGGGAGTTTCCCTAGGATGCGTTCTGCCTCCAGACTATAAAAAGCCATCTTGGCAGAACTCTCACCTCACTTTTCTGTTCATGTGACCCAAGGAGCTTAGGATGTAACTGTGCAGTAGTTTCTAGTTGCCTGACTGATGGATTTCGGACTTGCCAGACCTCACAATTGTGTGAGCCAATTCCTTGAAGTAAATCAATCTCTATGTTGTTGTTGTTGTTAGGTGCCGTCGAGTCATTTCCGACTCATAGCGACCCCGTGCACAGCAAACGAAACACTGCCCTATCCCGCACCAGCTCCATGATCCCTGCTATACTTGAGCCCATCATTGCAGCCACCATGTCAATCCATCTCCCTGAAGGCCTCCCCCTCTTTCGTCGACCCTCCACCCTACCAAGCATGACATCTTTCTCCAGGGAATGGTCCCTTCTGACATGACCAAAATAGGTGAGACAAAGTCTGGCCATTCTCGCTTCCAAGGAGCATTTCAGGTGCACTTCCTCCAGGACAGATCTATCAGTTCTTAAAACAGTCCATGGTACTTTCAGCATTCTTCGCCAGCACCACAACTCAAAAGCATCAACTCTTTTTCGGTCTTCCTTATTCATTGTCCAGCTCTCACATGCATACGAGGTGACTGGAAATATCATGGCTTATGTCAGGCGCACCTTAGTCCTCAAGGAGACATCCTTGCTCCTCAACACTTGAAACAGTTCCTTCATGGTTGACTTTCCCAATGCTACATGTTGTCTAATGTCCTGACTGCTGCTTCCATTGGCATCGACTGTAGAACCAAGCAACGTGAATTCTTTGACAACCTCAATCTTCTCTCTATTTATTGTGATGATGCTCATTGGTCCAGTTGTGAGGATTTTTGTTTTCTTTATATTGAGACATAATCCACACTGCAGACTGTATTCTTCAACCTTCATCAGTAAGTGCCTCAAGTCATCCTCACTTTCAACAAGCAAAGTTGTATGTCAACCCTATACGTGGTCATGTGCACACTACCCCCTGCACAGACATACCAAATCGTTCAGCCTGTCCACTCATCTATCCACCTATCTATCAACGCTTGCCATTTATGATCTCTTTTGTTATATAAAAATTTTACACTTTCAGGTATCAAATCTCTTGATCTTTGTAAGGTTATGTGTTTGAATCATGCTGAAGCTTTGATTTGAATACTTTAAACTCATATATCAAGCTACAAAACAGCAATGACTGACATATATATACACACACATATATTTTAAATTATCTTTTGGTGTTTACAGAGCAAACTCATTTTCCATACAACAGTTCGTATATGTTTTATTTAATGACATTGACTGCAATCCCCATAATGTAACAGCTCTCTACCCACTTCCTCTCTGTGTCCTTCTTTCCTATGCATTTCTGCCCTCTGAGCTTTCTTCCTGTGCAAATACTGCCCTTCTGTTCTCCTGTAAGGAGCTCTGGTGGCATAGTGGGTAAGGCATTTGGCTGCTAACCAGGTCAGTGGTTCAAACCTACCAGCCACTCTGAGGAAGGAAGATGGGGCACTCTATTGCTGTAAACATTAACAGCCTTGGAAACCCAATGGGGGTCGCTATGAGTTGGAATTGACTCAACGGCAACGAGTTTGGTTTGGATCTCCCATGGCTGACTAAATGTACCTACTTGGTATGAATGTTCACTTTATATGCCTTTCTATTGTTCGGCTGGAAGCCATAAGGGTGAGTTCAATTCCAGGTCTGAGGGTGACTAGGGGCCATAGTCTGGGGTTTCTACCAGTCTTTATCAGACTAGTAAGCCTGGTCTTTGTTTTTTCCCTGATTTTGAGATTTGTTCCACATTTTTCTCCTACTCTATGCAGGATCTTCTATTTTGATCCCTATTAAAAAAAACCACCAAAACCTAATATAGTTTTAATTTAAGTATTCTATAACCTGGTATGAAAATACAGTTAATCCAATGCAAATAAGCACCCACAACTCTTTGCAATTATGACCAACTCTGTTTACGTATGGAAGACAACGAATATACAATTTAAGAAACATGCCTGCAGATCTGTTTCAGCAGGGCTTTCACTTTCATCATCATTTTCTGCTCTGACAGCATCAGAATTACAATCTTCCTCAGCTTCTGCCTAAAGAAAAGAAAACCAAAATAATGAGCAAGACTATGCAAAAACCAAAAAACCAGTTTCCTTTTGTAACCCTACATTTCCTATCAGCTAATTCTTCTTTAGTACCATAATATCAACAGTTTGAGCACCTCAAGTAGCAAGGCTCTAGTTTGCATTTGGGACCTTACCATTTATTTCTAAAAGAAAATGAATCTGAAATGTATAGCCTCTACTCCAAAACACAGTAATAGTAACATTGTGTTTTGAAATAGAGGGTATGTGTTTTAGACTCACTTTCTCATGAATCGGAACATTCTGCACACCAAAATTTAGTATCAGTATTGCTCATCCAAAACCCAATCTAATTATATATAAAATATTAGCCCAGTGTATTACTATTTATAATCCATTTAAAATATGAAGTCAACTCCTTCATCAATATACATCACATAACTATTCACTGATACTCTAAAAATTTTTCATTTTTCTTTGCTTAATGTACTTTTGACTGATTAGCATACTTAAATTCATTATCAAAGTAAATCTCTACGAGAATGAAAATCCACTACCAATTACTGAAGACTGTAATTTTTTCCCTCAACATTAAAATGCAGAAAAAAGGATTTTGGTCTTTAGTTTTTCTTTTTAGTTTTACCCAAAAGAAGTGTGAATATTCTAACTTTTGATAATAAAAACATTTAAACATATTAAAAGGAAGTACAATTAACCCCCAAATACACATGACCCAACTTCAGCAATTATCAATGTAAAAAATGCTTTACTATCAAATATCTAGTCAGATATTATTCATATTACCAATTTCTCAAAATGTCATATATGTAAAACACACATATTTTACTTTGTAGAATCAAGATTCAAATAGGTCCATATACTGCAATTAGTCAATGTCTCTTAACTTTACTGTAACTTAAATGTTTCCTCTCCTCTCACTTTCTTTTTTTCTTGCACTTTATTTACTGATGAATTGGGTCTTTTTTTTTTTTTTTCCTGTAGTCTACCACTGTCTGGATTTTGCTGAAGTGTCAGTAAATACCTTCCTTTTGTCTTATTTCCTGTAAATTGTAGTTAGATCTAAAGAGGTTTGATTAGATACAGAGATATAGGCAAGGTTTTCCTTTTTTCGGTGCCACGAGACTATTTCATTGGTGAGGATGATGCAGGACTGGGCAGTGTTTTGTTCTGTTGTACATGGGGTCACCATGAATTGGAAATGACTCGACAGCACTTAACAACAAACCTCATAGATGATGTTATGCTTTCCATCAGGAAGTGTTTTGAAATGAGTTGTCAAAGTGTTACATTAGGTGTTTTAAACATAATTGAGTCCAACTGAGGTGCAACAAAACAAAAACCAAACCCAAATAACTCTAGGATCCATAAATTTCAGCAATTACCAAAAACAGAAAATACTGTAGGTTTCATGCTAAGAAAGTATGTCGTTACTTCTTTCTAGATAACCCTCTTAGCAGGTAAATTTAGTGATGCCAATCAGATAAAATCTGATACACTGGGTGCCAGTTTGAAATATTTTGGTAGTTGGTTTAAAACAAAACCAACTTTGCCATTAAACTACAGGTAGATACATAGGTAGACAGGCTGAATGATTTGGTATGCCTAGGCAACAGGGAATATACCCATGACCACATGTAAGTCTAGCAGATGATATTTCTATATATGGATCTGTATGTGCCATAAGAAGGTCCATATGTATGAAAGAGCTAAAAGGAGGCCAAGTTGTAACTTCTTAGTCACAACCAAGCACCCTAAGGGAGCAAGTTGTTGAACCTGTGGGCTTGGGACCATGGTCGCAGGGGATATCAAGCTCAACTGGTATGACATACATCTTACTTTGGTGAACAGTGATTGGGGTCTTAAAAAGCTTGCTAGTGGACACCTAAGGTGCAACAATTGTTATCTCCTCATCTGGAGCAGAGAAGAATGAAAAAAAAAAAAAAATGCATGGAAACAATTAGTCTAAGAGACTAGCTGACCATGCAACCCTCAGCCTATGTGACCCTGAAACCAGAACTAGATAGTGCCCAGCTACCACTGTCAAGCACTCAGAAAGGGATGAGGGTAGGAAATTCTGGCTAGAGTGGGAGAAAAACGTGAAACAAAACTCAAAATCATAAAAAAAAAAAAAAAAAGACCAGGCTCACTGGTCTGACAGAGACTGGTGTAACCCCTGGGACCATGGGCCATACTAACCCTTCAGATCTGGAATTGAACTCACTCCCGTGGCTTCCAGCCAAACACTAAATAGGCATATAAGGTGAACATTTACATCAGGTAGGTATATTCCTTATAATCAACCATGGGAGATCAGTATTTGCACAGGGAGATAACTCAGAGGGCCGGAATGAATAGGAAAGAATGACACAGAAAAGTAATCACAAGGAAAAAGTAGGAAAAGAGCCATTATATTATGGGAATTGTAGTCAATGTCATGAAACAAAATGTGTATGAACTGTCATATAGAAAATGAATTTGCTCTGTAAACTTTCACCCAAGTCACAATAAGAAAACAATAAACAAAAACAAAACTTTGCTTTAGGATCCCCCTCAAACATTTAGTTGTGGAACAGAGTCCAGCAAATGGATTTTGTTTCACAGATTACTTAAACACTATAATCCATATACAGGTGTAGCTTGTTTTACAAAACTGCCATGCTATTAAATGTGTTCCATGTAGATATTACTTTTGTTCATTAATATTTTAAATGCACTAGGAAAGCTCTGTAGTCAAAGGCACGTAATAAATGCTTTTGTAAAGAAGCTCTTCATTGTATCTGTTTATAAATCCAGATTTTTATATATTACATTGGCTTAAAGTGGTATAAAGCTGGACTGGAATTACAGTGCATGGCTTGGGGCTTAAAAGGTCTCAAGTCAGACTTCTTTCATTTTATCTTTTTATTCTCAATAAATGTTTACTCAAACAGAATCCTACGACCTAGTGAAGTTCCCTAAGGTAAATCTGTTAGTTAATACACCTAATGGCAAACGGAACTTGTTCAACATTCAACATGTTCAGTCCTATGAAGAAATGTGGCAATGAGGGAAATGACCTTGACAGTAGCAAAAAATAATAAAGCCTATTAAAAAATCTTAGTTCTAAAGATGGTAACTTGCAAATTTTAGTTGAGTGAGTTAATGTTCAGGGTAAAACTGTTTGTATTAGTACAAATCTCTGAATACAGCAACCACATACACTTCCACTATCTTACAGCTCCACACAAGTCTTGCCTCCTATTTTATCTCTGGCAACCAGACTCAAAGCAGAGGTGCCTTTGTGGCTGGAATGTGCTTGGCATACTGTAACAGGTAAATCTATGACTAAAAGAGGCCAGGAACTTAGAAGAATTTCCAGAAAACTGAGCTTAATGGAAAATGTAATCATTTAAAATACTGTCAAATACTTTTTTTTTTTTTTTTTAAGCTGGAAAGGAGCCCTGATGGTACAGTGGTTAAGCCCCTGGCTGTTAATAGGAAAGTTGGAGATTCAAACCCATCAACTGCTCCACTGACGTGAAGAAGTATGTGGCAGTCTGTTTCCATAATGATTTATAACCTTAGAAAGCCATATGAGGCACTTCAAACGTCCTACAAGGTTGCTGTGAGTCAGAATCAATTCCACTGCAATGAGTACGAGTAGTAGTAAGGTAGAATCTTTTCTTACTAGGAACATCAATTTAAAAAAAAAAAAAAAAAGCCACTCACTGCTGTGGAGTTGAATCCGACTCACAGCGACCCCTCCTTTCCAAGGTGGTATCGCTACGGAAGTAGATTGCCCAATCTTCCTTCCGAGGAGTGGCTGGTGGGTTTGAACTTCCACCCTTCTGGTTGGCGGTCAAATGCCTTACGCACTATGCCACCAGAGCTTCTAGGAACATCAATAGTAGTCAAAATATTTACAGTGAAATCAGTGAGCGACGGAACTCACGGAATTACGTTTTTCTGACTCAAAAGTTTTCTGCCTGTGACAGAGTACAGTCTTACTTTTCTATCACTCTGTATTAGTTGAAAATATTTTAGTTTTCCTTCTCAGATGGGTTTCCACCTTATAGAGCTTCTCTCATTCACAAGTTTTACTATAATAAACGACTTAGAACTTATAGGTCCCATTGAGACGTGTTATTTCTCTTTCTTCTCAAATAGTCTACTTTATTACTGTTGTAAGAAGCTCTGGTGGTGCAGTGTTAAGGCATATGGCTGCTAACCAAAAGGTTAGCAATTCTAACCCACCAGCCACTCCATGGGATAAAGGTGAAGCAGTCTGCTTTCATAAAGATTTACGAAACCCTATAGGGCAGTTCTGTTCTGTCCTATAGGGTTGCTAAGAGTCCCTATGAATCAATTTGATGGCAGTGGGTTTTTATTACCATTTTATCTGTAAGTACAGCAGGGACTGGTCTCTGGAGAAGGATATTATGCTGGGTAAAGTAAACGGTCAGTGAAAAAGGAGAAGACTCTCAACAAGACAGATTGAGAAAGTGGCTACAATGAGGTATGGCAATGATTGTGAGGATGTTGCACGAGACCAGGCAGTGTTTCATTCTGTTGCACGAAGAATCACTGAGTTGAAACCAACTCGATGGCACCTAACAAAAGTACAGCTAATGAGAGAAGACCTGAGTTCCCCAGGATAACTTCCAAGGCTCCAATTTAGCCACCCAGCTTTTGCCTAGCATCATACTACACCGCTTTAGTTCCAAGGGCTTCCCTTGCTCTCTCCATACGGAATCCTTTCTCCTTCTTCCTCACTTGACTACTTCCGTTCACCTTTCTTCTCCCCTGAGCTCCATACTGTAGCAGAGGCAATTCATTACCACTTTGATTTTTGACAGTTTAAATATAGCCACAAATATACAAACCCACTGCCACTGGGTTGATGTCAACTCACAGCAATCCTCAAGGACAGGGCAGAACTGCCTAATAAGGTTTCCAAGACTGTAAATCTTTATGGAAGCAGACTGCCTCACTTTTCTCCCATGGAGTGT